CGCTTTATAGAGAATCTTTGATATTTTATGTTATAATAAATATGGAAAAATAAATCGAGTTCACATATATTAAACAGTTATTTTCTCTGAGTTTAACTGTTTTTAAAACTTCATTTAGTTAACAGCTTAACTAAATTCGTGTGAATATAAAAAGTAATAGAAAAATCAATATTACCGAACTGCGCAAGAGTTGAACTACATAGTTCATCCTAAAGCAATGCATTTGAATTTTTAATACATGATAAAATGTTAACTGAATAAAATTATATCTGTTTTCAATAAAAAATTTTCGAATCTGATTATTTATTTTGACGGCAAATAAGCATGCATATTCTCTAGCTTCGATCCATTCCGATCCTTGTTTTCCGCATAATCTATTATGAATCAAGAATGATTCTTTGTGTGTTAAGTCTACTGACCAATCTATTTCGAAACGACCTTTCGGAAAGAAGGTGCTGGATGAGCAGGGGAAGAACATCTGTAGCTTCGGTTTAAGAAACCGATATATACGCCTGCTTATATCTTCTGAATTTTTCGTGTTTGAAATATTCAATATAAAAATTCCCACCGTTACATGTAGAGTACTCTAATGGGGCAATTGTTACGATCGCTTTGGACTCGACCTTAGCTAAAATCCGTGATTCTGATCAGAAATTACGCCTATAGTTATACTTTGAGTTGGAACTTAAGGACTAGCAGTGAAGGTTTTCAGTCTGGTTCTGTATCCTGCATATCTAAGATCTAATCTGATAGCAGAAGCTAACCAAGTTATAATCGAAATTTAAATTTCGATTCAACATGAGCAGTTTCTATTTGATAAATGAAGGAAAACTGTCAAATGTAAACACTTCCATAGTGTAGTAGTAAACGTCACCGGTGCAATTCTTGGTCACATCTGTCACAACCTAAACCGAAAAAGCAAAGGTAAAAACTTGGCGTAATCTCTATCTCAATCAGTTTAGAACTCGATATGGTATTGAAAAAATTTATATATTTTACTAAACATGATTTAAAGTTTTGTTGTATGGCAGCATGTTAATATAAAAGATGTTTGAATAATTATTACGTTTGGCAGCTCTGTCCAAAATTCGCTGTCCCAATTATTATTGATTTGGGTAAGGAGTATTCAAAAATTAAATTTGCTATGACTTCTAAAAAAATAGAGGAGGGTCAAGAATTAGTTCGACAAGCAGAAAAAAGGTAAGTGTTTCTTATTAAGTTATAAGAATTAATTGTGTGTTTTAGTTTAAAGGTTGGATTATTGAAGTGGAGACCCGATTATGACGTAGCTGCAGATGAATACACAAAAGCAGGTACATATTTAGTATATTTAAGTCAGCATTAATCATACACTTTTTATTAGTATATTCTAACTACTGTTAAACGTGCGAAATAATGATATATATCACATTATTAATTAAACTTTTCTTTTGTGTTAGCTACCGCCTTTCGTATAGCTAAGTCTTTTGATCAAAGCAAAGAGTGCTTAGTAAAGGCAATTGATTGTCATAAAAATAATCGATCTTGGTTTCATGCTGCGAAATGTTACGAACAGGTTTAAAATTATTAAATATTTAAAGTGATAGGTAATTAATTTTATTAATTTAAAGATCATCTTGATATTGAAAGAAACCAACAATTTACTCGAAATAGAGCCAAATGTAAATAAGGCATGCAATCTTTATCAGCAACATGGATCGCCAGAAGCTGCTGCAACCGCATTAGACAAAGCTGCTAAAATTGTAGAGCAAAAACATCCTGAAATTGCTTTGAACTTTTACAAGCACGCTTTGGAAGTTGTAATGGTATTAAATGAAAACAATCTTTCATAATTATTGATCATATTCTAACAGTTGTTGATTTATAGTTAGACGACTCCACACGACATGCTGCTGAATACGCAACAAAAATTTCACGAATTTTGGTAAAATTAAAGAAGTACGTATACAATTTTTTTTAATTACTCTAAGATCTAGAGGAAAAAACTTTTTCAATGAACTCAACAATAGATACGACCAGGCCGCTGATGCAATAAGAAGGGAAATTGGGTTAAATCAACAGACAGAGTCATATGGCCAAATTGGCCGATTAGCTGTAGCCCTAGTTTTGGTTCAACTTGCTCGAGGAGACTTTGTTGCAGCTGAGAAGGCTTTTAAGGAATGGGGTAATTGTTGTGATTCGGATGAAGTTCAAACATTAGAAATTCTTTTGCAAGCATTTGATGATGAAGATCCAGAATCAGCTAAACGAGCTTTAGCTGCTCCTTTTATACGACATATGGATGTTGAGTACAGTATTCTCGCTCGCGATATACCACTACCACATGGCTTAGCAACTACGTCAAAAACCGACGTGATCAAGGATGCTGCACCTTCTTATATGTCTGCAAATACCGAGGTAAATTGCATACATTTGTTTTTACTGTTATTTGTCAGGTTTAGGTATACTACTATTACTACTACTTATTCCTAGTTATTTATTTTCTATATCTTGCTTTCTTGAAAAAAAATATATATATATTGATCGGTTACTACTATTTATCAGTTTACTGTTAACATACATTTTCAAGAAGTAATAATTGAAAAATCGAAATGTATTATAAATGACAATGATTACAACTCATTATCTTTATTTCTTAATTTTGGGTTTTCGGAGTTCTTAAAATATTTATTTATTGTGAAACCGATTTCAATTAACCAAAATTAATTTTTTTGATACATTTTAAGCAAATGGACGATGGATTAACAAAGCCTAGTGTACCTAACCATGATGAAGATGAAGAAGAGGAAGGATTGTGTTAGTCATTATTATTAACTAGTTTTATTGCAGAAGCTAATGTTTGTTTTGGTATTTAATAAGGTTAATAAAAGTTTACTCCCTTAAAGAAAATCTTGTTTTTAATATGTCCTTATTTATGAATCATAGATTTTTCTTCTGACCGCCGTCTGCATATATTTTTAAAATGAAAATTTTCTTGAATGAAAATTTTACAACAAATATACTATATTCATATATAAGAGACAAATAAGGATACATTTAAACTACAAATATTAAAATTAAAATTTTTAATATTAATTTTACTAATTTCCTAAATATTTGAAATTTCAGAGAGCTGGCAACACATATAAATTTGTTTTGACAGATTAAATTTTCGTTTTGTGTTTATGTAGTAGAGTTGAATGTGTGCTTGCAGTCGTCGTTTACGTCAAAATTTGCAACAGTGGGCTGGTCGGTCCATAGATTTTAGACTCTAAATTTGTGCGTCAGAAATTGTATTAATAAAGAATTTTGGCGTTTAAATGAAATAAAATCAATCAAAGAGAATAAATTTATGTCATAAAAGTATGATAACAACAATATGTTTATGAATTCACTAAATCTACCGCGCCTCGGGTTGTCGGCGGCAACGATGTGTATATACTGCCATGAAAATACGATATATGAGTAAAATAGAAAGATTCTGCATTTATACACCTACTAATGGACATTAGAATAATTATTTAATTAATATCGAAATAATATCTGACCATTCAATAAAATGAGTGCAATAAAAATATATTTTTGTTTTGTGAATAGAACGATCATATATCAAAAAATCTGGGTATAAATATACAAAGATGTGTGGTTTAGAGAATTTTATGCATCCGCATAAGACACTATTCATCGCCGCTATGTAAATTGTTTTGTTACCTATGTATGTAAAATGCAAAATATAACAAACAAGGTATAAATGTACCTTTGCTGCATTTGTATACAATGTAAATTAAGGCGTTTAAAAAAAATTGTGTGAAGTTGGATTCAAAAAAGTTATTAGAAATAAAATGCAAGCTAAAAAGCGGTATATTTTGGTTTTTGTGTCTTGTGCATTTCTCGCATATTGCTATTTTGGTGGTTATCGACTCAAAAAAAGTGACGGTTCTCACCGCAATCTTCAAGTGGTAGATGCAGTAACGCGCGCTCGTCTCCTTGAAAAATTACCCAGTTATCAACCTAAAGAAAACGTTCATATGACATTTGGAATCGATAAAACAGACAATGCAAGTGAGCTAGATGAGGATAAGCACATATCCACACATGACATAAATAAGGCGCTTTCCTGCCGAATGGAAAGTTGTTTCGATTTTACAAAATGCTATGAAGAATTTTTAGTGTATGTATATCCACCAGAGCCGTTGAACTCTTTGGGTGCTGCTCCCCCTGTATCAGCTAATTATCAAAAAATATTATCCGCAATACGCGAATCACGATACTATACGTCCCAACCGGAGCGGGCGTGTTTATTTGTTTTAGCTATTGATACCCTGGATCGAGATTCTTTGTCGAATGACTATGTTCGTAATGTTCCATCAAGGCTGGCACGTTTGCAGTACTGGAACAATGGCAGAAACCATTTGATATTCAATTTGTATTCAGGAACATGGCCTGATTATGCGGAGGACTCTCTTGGTTTCGATCCAGGTGAAGCTATACTAGCAAAAGCTAGCATGAGTGTATTTCATATACGTCCAAACTTCGATATCAGTATTCCCCTGTTCCATAAACAGTTTCCTTTACGTGCGGGCTCATCTGGATTAGTACAAACTAATAACTTTCCAGCAAACAAAAAATATTTACTAGCCTTTAAAGGAAAAAGGTAAGTTTACATGATAATACGCTTTCGTTAATTATAATGTTCTATATTTTTACAAAATTGATTAATTTAGTGGTCTAAAAATTTTAAGTTAAAATTATATTGACAATTATTTAATATTTGTCCGTAATTTCGCAAGTCTTAATTCTGTCTGCTATTTGTGAAATTTGAAATTACTGACCCTATGTCTTCTCTTAGCAAATTAGGATTATCAAGTACCATCGTGAATGCGGATGTCATAGCCATATACATATACATGAACATATAATATATCAACATATTTTAGTCAAAATACTTAGTTGTGCAAAGGTTATCAATTCAATGCCCATTAACCTAACTAAATTGCACAATAAATATGTATATATATGTATATTTTTGAACAAAATTATTTTATTACTTTTCCACTCAAGATACAATTTGACCCAGACGGGTCCGTATTAACTGCGCGTGCAAACCAAATGGATGAAAATGTTTGGTTGGATTGGTACAGTCATGGCGCGATCCTCGAAGCGGATTTTTCAGTTTCAAAAACAGAAAAAAGTCACATGGACAATGACGATGACTCTTGTTGTTCGTTTGTTCTAAAAGTCAGTCACAATCATGCTAGAATGTGAAGGTGGTTTTATGTTTACGTGGTTTTCCGTTTTCGGCAATACGCTAGATTGGTGGTCAGTTTTGATCTCATATTTATAAATTCCCAACTTACGTCTCGTCATCTGAAATTATTCGGTTGTTATTTGTGACCTCTACTCTACGTCGGTTTTGAAAAAGGTTCAAGTTCTTTAGTTCGAGTCTAGCATTGACGTGCTTTATACCTAAAACATTAACCAAAACGGTTGAGTAGATCCAAAAGAGACCTTGAGATCCTCTGCTATCTCACTGATGCAACACGTAGATTTTCAAGCACTGTTTCTTTAACTTTTTCAATGTTATCGTCATTAACAGATTTGGACAAACGACTCACATTAGGTAAGTGTCACTCAAATAATCGTGTTAAAATAGCTTCCCCAAAACAATTCTGCAACATTTTCAATGATTCCGTGGATATGATTCCACTGGAAACACAAAATTTTAAGCAAACTCGTTGTTAAATCCGTGATAAAAATCGTCAGAAAAACGTACTGTGTCGTAAACAAATAGCTGCCAAACACACACTAATTGACATATGAGGCCTAGCCTTCTCACGGCAAAACACTGTGCAATATCGTCTTATCGACGGCAACAACAACCGCATGGATACTACCCTAGATTGTCAGGGCATAGCTATACGATCAGGCGATTTCGAAATGATATTTGATATATAATATATGTACTTGTACATCCCCTCAGTTACAAGCATAAGTGATCTCAATTAGGAGATATGGCAAATGGTAAATAAACATATGCAGTCGAAATGGGTGCAAAGCTTGAAGTCTAGTAACCTCTCCATCGGCGTGAGTAAGCTTGTGCCAAAAGATGTGTTAGCCGATGAATAAACAAAATGCCAAAAGACTGCGAGCCACTAACTTTTACCGGTGCGGAGGTTGAAGTTGTCATTAACAAGGCGAAATAGTATAAGTCTCTCTGCCTAGACGGTATAAACATGTCTAGCTTCGACGTGAGTAAAATATCTAACAAAGGTCCTCAATCTGTCGTTGACCACTCTTTATATACCCGATGTGTGGAATGTTAGAAAAATGGCCCCTCAACTGAAATCTGGGAAATCCGACAACGTAGAAGAGTCTTATCATCTACTCTCCTTTCTCCAGTAGTGAAGACACTTGAGGCCTTTTTTATTCGCGATCTTCACTCATCATCTGAGCCTAGCAGACCATCAACATGAATTATCTGATCTGTCGGCAACCATCAGTATTATTTCAAGTTCAAAACTCTAAGTTAAGAAGAATTAAGCAGGGTATTCCACAGGGTGGTATTCTCTCTCCTTGTTAACCCCTGTTTAACTTCTTATCTCGAAACACCCTCAACCACCAGAGAATTTCCATCACCTCATACGCAGATAATTGTATGATGTTGACATTGTATGGAGAGCATCCATAAATACCAAAGGAGATGGATTTGGCGAAATTCAACCTTTTTAAAAATATTTAAGACGTTTGTTTTTAAATATAATATAAAATGTATGATATAGGCTCCAACTCCACTACACTAACTACACCGCCACTACGAACACAACTGATTTTAGACTCGCACTGACCGTCATTCACAGTGGAGCTATTAACATCTTCATTGTCTCCCTCCCAGTGAATGGCGTCCTTGAAGTCAAACCACCACCCATTGCAGACGCAAATTCATTCTAGATGCAGTAGCAAGTGGTTAAGTTCCTATTTATCGAGAATAAACCCCGTTCTACCATATATTATATGTATTGTGTGCAATGTGCCGCTTGACTGTAATCACTTCTTTGATAGGGCAAAAACCAACTCATCTAAAAACTAACCCCTCTCCCTATGGTCCGACTCGTCGAAAAAGCACGCTTCCTAGACCACTCGTTAAATGATTTTGATGACAATTAATTTGCGCCTTGCCCCCTAAACACCAGATAACCGCTACAATAACAACAACAACAAATTGATCAACCTAAAATTTCTCCAAAAATTGTATTTGTTCAGCACAAAGCTGCACCCCATCAATGCCACGTTGATGCATGGTACTGCTAATCAGCACATTATGTAATACTCTGTACTACCTGAGGCAATTTTGTAATTTGACTATTTGTTATTTTATCTGTTTAATTTTCTTTAGTTTCTATTACTATGTAAACGAGAATTCATTGTGTATAACAGATGTGAGGAAAGATAAGAGATTGTTTGTGCACAATCTAAACCTATTCTTCTGTATAAATTTTGTCACCAAATTTAATTGATCCACGGTTATGTTCTCGCTTATTCTGTAGCCTAGGTAATTCGACACTTTGTCTCACCTTAGCTGGCGCAGTTGGTTGTTTTCTTGATCTGCCAGTTGGAGGAGAGGTGACTTGTTCTTTGATTTCTGTTGCTAGCATTGGTGTTGTAGTAGTAGAAATTAATACTGAGTGTTTCATTTCGCCATAGTTGCCAAATGATAGTTTATCTGAAGCAAAATGAGACGTAGTCGTGGAAGTTGCAACCTCTGGTGGCCATTTTTCACTTTTGATCCGCGTGGGCAATCCTTGAAACCGACCTCTAAACTTGAATGTATCTCTAGTGTTACTAATATTGCTTGGAGTCCAATCGCCGTTAAGTACTTCTGAGTTCTTGCGTTGTTTTGATCTCGTCGGTGGACCAGAGTTTGCAGGTATGGAAGATGGTAAGATTGTAGCAGTTTGTAACCGTTCTTGAAAACGTCTTAAGAAATTGGCTGGGTAGTTTGGTGGCTCCTCTGTCAAGGTACTTGTTGTGATTGTTGAGCTAAACTTATCTCTATACGCTGTGTTTGTGGGTTGTATTAAAGAAAATTTAGATGGAGCAGTTCGAAGACTAATTTGTGAACCTTGCATTAAGGGTAATGCTATAGACTCTTCAGCAATATGTTCAGTTACTTCATAACCATTTGACTGTAGTTTTTGGTCTTGGTAATCATAACTATTGTATTGATCTTGCACACCAACAGACGATATCGGTTGTTGAGAAATCTGTTTTTCTGGTTTAGGCAGACTTTCGGCCATAAAACTGGTGTGTAGTGGACTTAGTGTATTTGGTTTGAGCGGAGAGTAGGTAGAACCTACTCCACTAGTGTCACCAACCACTGGCAACCAGGAATTGTGGTCATCCGTAATTTCTTTGTTCGCCTGTGATGAGTATTTTTCATTCTCGGAAAGAAGATTTTGTTGGTGAACATCGCTGCTTTTAACTGATAATTGCCCTTCGGCAATTAACTCTTGTTCTTTTTCAATCTTCTCCATTTGGTCACTATTGAGATACGCGGGTATTGATTGTTTGTATGAATTTACCGTTTTTAAGTCGGTTGTAATCGTTGGCTTCGTTATTATTTTTACAACTTTTTTGCTTGGTCGAATTTTGATAATTTTCATAGGTTTCTTTGTTGTGGGGTTATGGATAATGTATTTTATTCTGGTGGTCTCCGAAGGTAAATAATCCAATAGTTTATTTGTAAGCACTGAGTGTCCATTGGGCATTAGATCGGACGTCATATGTTTTATGGAGTATGGCCTGGTGGCCTTGTTGCCTACTAAATTATCTATGTGCATTTGTTTCCACATGAAGCGACGTTGCAGCCTAAAAACACATAACTGTAATCAATATTATACAAGGAACTAAATAGCTATATATGTATATTTAAGAATGTATTTGAGAATTATAGATAATTTACGTTGCTTCCTTGCCATTGGCTATCGCTCGACAACTGAGCAAACAGAACAGGTAAAGTATATATCGCAGTTGTTTGTTATCCAATGTAGTCTCCCAAATAATACGCTAAGGATAAAAAATTGCAAAGTAATTAAAACGATGTTTATCAACATAAATAATACATACGAAACACTTGCACTTGTTAAAGAAATTAACCATTTTATTTAATGCTCATGCACGAGCTGTTTGCGCTGTAACGATTTCTGCAAGATTAATTTTTAGCATGTTGGCTGCCATTCAATTTATAGAGCATTGCATATTTCAAAACTATTCACTATTGGCATTCATCAAGTCTGCGATGCGGTGCATGGTACAATCTTTCAAGGCAATAAACTGCAGTGAACTACGCTTTAAAGGGGAATGCACGCTTACTTAGACAGTTATGTGATATGTATGTTCGATTGTGCATTTGCTTATAAATCGTGAAACAAGTCAGTTTAAGTCAGCTAAAAATAATGAATCATTGGAAACTTTTCGTTATTGTTTTTGTTTTTTACATCTCTTGTTTATTATCTTCCTTTTTCCGCATAACTTTTGTTATTAATTTGCCGATTTTTAACTTTCTTTCACATCTTACACATTGAATTTGGATGGTTGAATATTTAGGTGGCAGTTTATTGCTATCTATTTTTAATATCCTTTTGATTTACTTAAATCATGGTATATTAGGTACAAAATTATATGGTATTATGAGAATTAATATAATGAATACTCGCGAGTAGTGAGTTTGAATGCCACCTGGGGTAAAATCTAAACTTAGGCGAATTTCTTTTAGCAACGGTGCTGCAATAAAAATGTATTACCTGCATATGTACGAGTTATCCCTATATCTTATTATCTTTTACAATATCTTCGCTAGATTTCTGGGCCAGAGAGTCTGTAATAAAATATTGCTTGTGCCTTGTCATTGAAGTCTTAGTTCCAAGCACTGCAATTGTTTTTCGGTTGGAAGCTGGTTGATCTTTTTGTTTGATATATCGTGAAAGATATATTATACTATAATATTTACTCTTAATTATACTTTCAAACGTGTGCAATTGTGTAATATTTAATGGCCTTTTAAAGGCGTCCAATAATATACATATATTTGATTTGATTTCATTATTGTCCCTTTTTTACAGATATGTGCATGGAATTGGTTCTGAGACACGAAACTCCTTATTTCATTTACACAACGGACGGGACATCATTTTAGTCACAACTTGTCGACATGGCAAGAGTTGGCGGGAACTTCAGGATGGGCGATGTGATGAGGACAATCGCGAATATGACAAGTAAATTATAAATACTAGTTTTTTTAATATAAATTATTAATTTAGTATATATTGTATCAATGTTATGTTTCTGAAATATTTCCAGATATGACTATGAGACGCTATTACAAAACTCTACATTTTGTTTAGTACCACGTGGAAGACGTTTGGGATCATTTCGGTAAGTTTTATTAAGTTATAAACGTTCAGTTTTACTATGTTGATGTTGAAAATATCCTTCTCCTAAATACTACTATCAATTAATTTGTTTTCTAAAGGTTTCTAGAAGCACTCCAAGCGGGTTGCATTCCAGTTTTGCTATCGAATGGTTGGGTACTACCATTTGAGTCTAAAATAGATTGGAATGATGCTGTCATTTGGGCAGATGAAAGATTATTGTTACAGGTGGGTTAACTTTGCTATGACACTCAAAAAAAAAAATTTAATTATCTGACAACTAGAGAGTAGTCAAATTTTGTTTTATTACGTTTTTATACACAGAAAAAATCACTTATTATTTTTAAGTTCTTGCTATTTTAATAGTAATAGTTAATCAAACTAAAAACTTAAAATGTTAGATTGTAGAGTATACTTACCCACGTACGTACTCGCAATGTTAATTGGTTAAATATGTTTCTTTGCATATTTTCAGGTGCCAGAAGTCGTACGCTCTATTTCTTTGGAACGAATTTTGGCTTTGCGTCAACAAACTCAAGTTCTTTGGGAACGATATTTTGGATCTATAGAAAAAATTGTGTTCACTACGTTTGAGGTGAGTCGCAATAATAAAAGATAATAATAATTCTCATCAATTGATCATTTCGTATTCATATGTTACTATAATTTTGAAACTTTAGTCTCATAACTTAATTTTATTTTACCCATGCCCATAAGTGGAGAGTATTTTATCTTTATCTCGAAACCAAAAACAAAAAAAAAAACTTAAAAAATTGTTTATAATTAACACTAAAAAGAATTTACTAATGTAAAAGCCTCTTCGGAAACCCTTATCATTTACACGATGCTTTACTTAGTTAATACAAGAGTGTCGCAAATCAAAAAATAGTAAACCGATGTAAATAGCTCTACAATTTTTAACGGAAGATATTTTGTTAATATCAGCTTAACTTTTTGAACCTCACGCTTTCGCTTTGAATGTGCTTTTATAGGTGGAAAAGAGCTTGTTAGGGCGATGCAGTTATAGAACCACATTCTCTTTTTATTAGACACTGTTAGCCGATTTTATACAACATATGTTAAAAGTGAAAATCTCACTTATCAGATACTTAATTTGATTTTTTTTAGTACTACTCCGAATTCATAAATAAAAGTCCATGCCTTGACCATATTTAAATGCATATTTAATGTAAATTAAAGTTGTAAATTACATTTATTTTTGTACATTAGATTTGGTGAAAACGTATATGAGACATATTTAAGTAGCTCTGAGTTTATAACTTGTATTTTACGATAAGCCTCGCAATGATAGTGGGAATTGAACTGTTGAAACTGCAATAGTGTTGTGCTGAACGAAAATTCCTTACAAAGACTTGGCTTAAAGTTTAGGATATGTTTAAATGCACATAAAAAACTTAAAAGTTTAATTAACTTTGTTTGTGCTAGTTTACCCTTAATAGATACATACATATATACTATGCATATATTAGTGTAGAGATATTTATCTGCAACACCTGCTGAGTTTTAAGATATTTTCATAGTTGCACTCTTAGAAAAGTAGTGAGAATAGGCTCCTTACGCCAGTTGAACCGACTCCTGAGCCGAGTGTGAAACCGCTGCCTGATGTGCGGTGTCTCGACGCGTGACTGGAAAGGTTTGAACGAACACGGTCGTAGCTGGCAACATCCTAAAAGTGAAAATAATTAAAAAGACGATTAATTTTATTCCAAGTAAATAAATTAAAAATTTAGCAAATTTACTGGTCAATCAGAAACTCTAAGTGTTGACAGTGGCTGCAGATGTGACACATGCTACAGGTGTTGTAAATCGACAAGATTCTCACCTCTTTGTCAGCGTTTGCCAGAACGCTGCGCATTGAATCAGCTACTGGCCATTTCTTCTTCATTACCAGATTTTGTGGTGGATCGTGTCCAATGCCTGCATCCACTGACCAAATTGTGACTGTAGCACCAGCGTTAATTTTCGCTCCTCGCGAAAATTTGAAAGCCAATTCCTCATCGCCGGCGATGCGAGTTAACTGCCATCCGGTTAAATGGATCTCATCGGTGCCCTTGTTGTGCAGTTTAATGTAACGTCCTTCACTATCGGCGTCGACAATTTGCAAATCGCCTTTAGCGGCTGAATTAACAGAATATTCGGATAAATTGCGATCCTCCGATTCATCAATAACTGTGCGACGACGTTTGACTGCACTAGCGCTGCCACCAGCGCCCGGTGTTGCCGAACGGCGACCGCTGGGTGTGACACGCCCTGAACGTGAAGTAGAGCTAACAGATAAATGAGTACCATTTGAGTATCCTGAGTCGGTGTTAGTGCTAGTTGCAGGATGATTGGGTGACGAAATGTTTAAACGCCGCTCCTCACCGCACAAAAGTTTGTCATAAGCGGCAATTTCGAGATCCAACGAAACTTTAATGTCCATTAAATCACGATACTCTTGCAATTGTTGTGCCATTTCGTCGCGCATTCGTTGCAGTTCAGCCTCCAATGAAGCTATATATTGGTTATGGCGAGCACGCTCACTATCTAGGAGGTTTTCTAGTTCACGTATGCGCGCCTAAAAATATGTAAATAAAACAGTCACATAGGTTTTAACTAAATGTAAATAAATTCATGGATCTTACATTTAAGCCTGCATTGGTATTCTCCAGATCCTGAATCTTTGCATTAAGTCCGTCAATTTTCGTCCGCATAAGGCGAACTTCTTCGGTTGCGTGTGCCGATGAGTTGGCTGCTCTATTCGCGGCTGCTTGCAAATTTTTGATTTCATTGTCGTACAGCAATTCAATTTCTTCGCGGTTAACGCGCATTTGAGCTTCATATTGGTCACGCAACTCTTGAAGGGATTGTTGTAGTTTGGCTTCATACTGCTTGGATAAGCGGCCGTCGATTTCACTGATTTCAATTTGACGACGCGAGCGCGTTTCGGTTAGTTCACGGCTGTGAACTTGATCTTTGAAACTAAGTTCCTCACGAAGGCTTTGGTTCTGATTCTCCAAATCAACTCGAGCCAACGTTTCAGCTTCAAACTGTTTGCGAAGATCTTCAAGTTGTTTACGCAGCCTTTCGTTTTCAATTGCGAGGTCTTTAGCTTGATCTTCGGCCTTTTTGCGATCAGCCAAAGCCTGGTTGTACTTACCGTTAACTTCATTGTAGCGAGATTCATATACACGCGCACTATTCTCAGCGATCGCGCATTCCTTTGTTTTTTTATCTAGTCTATATTTTTATTAAATAAAAATAGTAATATGATATAAAAAGGCATTTTTTTCGAAAGCACATGCATAAGAGATAACAGAAGTAAATAATAATAAAAAATGTTTAAAAAGCAACTTGAAATACATCTGTCTGTAGCCATAATATCAAACGAGTTTGGGGAGTACAACGAAATTAGTGAATTTGTCAAATGACATCATCGCTAGTATTTTTATATGAACATATGCATAAGTCCGGCTCAAATATAATAAACTTGCATAAAAAAATAGACTTTCTGTCCATTTCCAATTACATTCGCCTTTAATAAACGACTTTTACTTAAATAATTTCTTATACATACATTATATGATGCCAAACCAAATTGTTTATAACTTTTAAATTCACTCTTATTTACGAAATTATAAATACGGCTTGTATGCATTATACCTCACAGAATTGAATTTGATGTAAAGAAAATATTCTTGCTATGATATTTTAGGGATCTGTCGGCAAACTTCCAAAAGCTCCACCAATCAGCATTGCAGGCAATACTTTAAAGAAAATCACTAAGATCTAGTGGAAAACGTGAGCATTTCAATCAAACCGAAACTCATGGGAGACCGTGTTGTGTAGTACAATACAATCGCGAAACGTGGAATGCGAGAAAATTTTCACATTATCCAAATGTATGATTCTCTAATACTTTGGTCCCAATGAGAACCTGTTAACTGAGACGTTTTGTGTCTATCATATTTGAGCTGCATTAATGGCCAGCACAGAGCACAAGTGGGAAAATATAATCAGAGAGAAATGCCTACATATAGTGTCGATATACATACATACATATACGTATGTGTATTTAAATGTGTACTAGATATTGTAGGTTTGTGTTTATTCAAGGTTGCTTTCGCGAGATTGTCACAAAAATGCGAAAGAGTCATTTTTAGAAATACCTAAAATTTATAGCTATTATTGCCGTTCTTTCTTCGATTTAATTATGCGCGCTTTATTGGTTTATATGCTCTTTTTATGCTGGTACAGTTTGTGCTTATGCTTCATCTATTCGATCTAGTGTGATTGTAATGATCTTTATTTTTGGCAAAATGACATCACGCATAACTCTATGCGCTGTATCTTAGGGGGAGCCGACCTTCATCGCCGCATACGTTTTTTGTTTTAGTTTAATTTAGTATTAGCCGTGGCATTTATTTATATACAAAAGTATAAACGCGTGCGTTTGTGGTTTTTAATTAAGTGATATTTATGAGAAACTAAAACAAAAACCAAACAAAAACAACAATGCATAATTAAGCCCTAAACGCGTTTGGCAAGTTTATTTGACAAACATATGTATGTATGTAATGCGTAAACAACTATTACAAATTACGCACATTTTTTTGTTGTATGTATTTCCAAATGTTATGTGAAGGTATGTGAATAGCCTGTTACCTTCTAACATATTTTCCTCTACTCTAAATGACATCATTCATTATCATATTTGAGCTTGCTGCCATGTGTTGTTAAAGCATAACAACCCGAAAAAACAACAAATTCATTATGACATCATTGATTAAAATGAACATACATACAGATATACTTGTATTTAATGTTGACGCATTTAAAACATACATACATACTTACATACTTACATTTTTACATACTTACATACATTAGTATCTAAGTATGAAAGTAAGTAAGTATGTACACGGTAAATGGTAAAATTTTCTTATTGATTGTACATATTTTCTAGTTGTTTACCTTTGTTTGAGGTCATCATTTTCCTCCCATAATCGCTTGATGTCAATTTCTAGTTTAGCCTTTTCTTTGGCAGTTTCATCCAATAGCTTACGTGCTGCTGCCAGTTCTTTCTCATACATGGCTTTAATATTGGACACTTCGCGATTGACCGTGTCTTGGGCGATTTGCAGTTCCTGCGTTAATCGATTATTGTCATTCTCTAGATTACGCATACGATCTATGTAGCAAGCTAGACGATCATTTAAATGCTGCAGTTCTTCCTTCTCCTGTATTCGAGTTGTGCGTGTAGGACTAGTGGCGCCCGGGCTCGTGGCTCCGACACGTCCTGACTGCCCACCCACTGGTGTGGAAGTCGAGGCGCGAGAAATCCGCGTAGACACTGAGGCACGCTTTTGAGACATATTGTCTTTGTTTATTTGTTGCAATTACACAGGTAAACTATTTGTTTGTGTATATGCCCTGTACTGAGGGAATGATAATCGTAGATTTCAGGCACTTGGTAAATATTTCAAGTTGGAACAAATTGACTTGTTAAATGTACCCAATTATTCTAGCACCTCTGCTTTGTTTGACTGGAAAAAATCAACTGAATAAAAATGTTGAACGTTAGCCTACAAATGGTGGTGGGCCAAAACAAAAAATGAAATCATCATCGACGGAATTAGGTGAGGCAAAAGCAAAAGCCCGAGAAAAGTAACCAGTGCGCACTCACCAGGTTTTATACAGCTCTCTTTGTATGACAATCTTGTGCTCACTTCTGCGTACATATGTATGTATTATGTATAAATGCTTGCGTTTATATAGCACATATACTTTTGCTTTTACACATTCATACAATGTATAAAATACATATATATGTATGTATGTATTGTATATTAACAAATTACAATAATAAGCCGAATGCCACGGCGTGTTGAGCAGCCGGTATAGGGGAGAGTAAAACAGTTGCGTATTATTGTAATGAGAATAAATTGAGTTTTAGTCAACTCAGTAGCCTACTATGTGTATTTATGTAAATACATATGTACATTTCGGAACACGTCTACACTTTCGTACAAAGAAAAAGTGTATTCAAAACCGAATGAACTGTAAGTAGAACAGCTGAATTAGTAATTTCGTTTTTATTACAATGTAAAGATTAGCTTTCCTAAACTATTGATTGCCCTATCCCGTGGTGTGTCATCTCTTAACACCGCTTTAGCGCGGTGGACCCGAGCAATATCAAGGGACTATGTTTCTAATAGCGGTAGGCCTCCATCAGGCAATTGGCAGTTTGAAGTCTCTTACAAGCGCCAGATGGGTTTTTAATTAATGTTCCGTTACAGAATTTCGATTCTTCAATACAACTATTGGTTGTCAGACACTGATTAGCTGAATTGACATACATATGTACATGTGTGTACATATGCACAACGGTTGTCTACTACTTATCAATTAAGTAATAAAGATCTAGAAATACAACTATTTTCGCATATCGTGAACACCACACATATATACATGTGCGTATTAGTTAACACTAACACTGGGTCTCACCTATTAGTTTTATTTTTTAAAATTTACTAAACTATTTGGTTTATTTTATACATATTTTTAGTTATTATTTATCAAAGTCTTGCCTTCAACTTATTAATCTCTTAACCATTTCCTTTCTGCTCGTACATTCATAAATGTGAACAATGCTAACGGTATTTCATTTAATGTTGTTTCATTAGATTATCCGCGAGCGCTTACCAGATTATCCAGTTCGCAATACGTTTATTTGGAATACATCGCCAGGTGCTCTGCTAACGCTTCCAACATTTGCTGATAGTTCTAGGTAAATTTAAAACATATTCAATTTTGTGGGGCTGCCAATTTACAAGTACTTGTTATCTCTTTTTTTTTAGGTATATGCCATTTTTATTGGATTCCATGGGAGTAGAACCCCGTTACAATTACACGGCTGTCATTTATGTACAAATTGGTTCGATTCTGGGCCCAAACACTGCGCTATACAAGTTAATCAAAACTATTTCAAAAAGTCAATTCGTAGATAGAGTAAGCTAGATATAAAAATGTCGAAATATGAGACAAATGTCCTGACTTTCCTTTAAAACTAATTTATAGATTTTGGTTCTCTGGGCGGCTGATCGTCCTATTCCATCCAAAAAGAGATGGCCTACGACTTACCATATACCATTCCATATAATAACTTTAAGTGGCTTAAGTATTGGTAAATCTTCTCGTAGTATGAAAAATGATGTCAGTGAAAAGTTCTATAATAATACTCTGCATTCCGGGGGAGTGCCTATTAATCATCAAGATTCAAAAAATATCAGAGAGGAAACTTTAGATGTATTTGACGAGCGTCCAAGCATATCACAACGTTTTTATCCATACCCCGAAATCCAAACAGATGCAGTGCTCTCACTAGACGAGGACTCTATACTGAATACGGACGAATTGGATTTTGCATATACAGTTTGGCGAGATTTTCCAGATCGTATTGTTGGTTATCCAGCTCGAGCTCACTTCTGGGATGATTCAAAGGTTCTATCTTTTGTTTATTTGTTGATTCATACCATACAATAAAAATTAACTTACTCAATTATTATATAGAATGCGTGGGGATACACATCTAAGTGGACCAATTACTATTCCATAGTTTTGACTGGTGCAGCTTTCTATCATCGGTACTATAATTATTTGTACACCAATTGGCTATCATTATTGCTTCTTAAGACTGTACAACAATCATCCAATTGTGAAGATATCCTAATGAATTTGCTGGTATCGCATGTAACGAGAAAACCACCGATTAAAGTGACACAGCGCAAAGGCTATAAGGATCGTGAAACAGGACATTCTCCATGGAATGATCCAGATCATTTCATTCAGCGGCAAAGTTGCCTCAATACATTCGCTGCAGTTTTTGGGTATAAATACACACATATGCGTTATGCATGTTGCACAGAAAAATAATAAAATATTTTTGTCTTTCGCAGATATATGCCGTTGATACGTTCAAATTTACGTCTTGATCCGGTATTGTATCGGGATCCGGTGTCCAATCTACGTAAGAAGTACCGCCAAATTGAGTTGGTTGGTAGCTAGCACTACATAAGCACAAGCTATAAAGTTAAGCTTAACTAATCTGTGTTTATCAACCACAAAAGTAAACTTAACTGCATTCAAAATACAAATGGAAAGCTATAAAAGTAGTTTAAAGTCACAGGTTTACAGATCAAATGTATTTATTGCAATAATAGACATGCAGTTAAAGTTGTATAGCTTGCAAGGTTTGAAAAATACATACCTTTACGTGAATGTTTACGTGCGAGTATGGATATGGTGTACCGAGAAAGTGTCACAACTATTTATATAAATTAGTAAGAAGTTATTTGTATGTAAAATGCCATTTATGATAAGTCACAGCCACAATAATTTAGATTCTGTAATTATAATTATAAGATGTTATAAGTTAACATATAATGATGTTGATGATGACATGACATGATGGTGATTACTTTAGGTCGCTATTTTTACAATATATAAAAAACTCTAATAATTTATGATATTTAGTTAAATTTTTTAATGTATGTATATATAGATATATATATGTATGTATTTAAAAGTGTATACATATATGCATACGAAAGTGTATAAATAAATTTGACACTAATCACACTCGCTTTGGCTCATTTGTGTTAATATTTCCCATAAGCGACAAATTGAAAAAGGGACTTTAGTTATAATTTAATAAAATAATTGTTTATTATTGAATAAAAATATAACGTGAAAATATTCATTTTGACGCGAAAACCTAAATTCTCTTAAAAAGAGCTTAAACATGAACATGCCGAACTACAATAAATATATGTATATATACAAAAATCAAATGAAAAGTGCAATGGTTTTGTTTGATATCTATAAATTATATATTCCCTCAATGTTCTATCATGCAGGTATGTAAGAATCTATTTAAAATTAAATATATTGTTACCTGCTAAAGTGTGTCTGCCATCCAGGACAAGAGCTAGGCTAATAAAATTAAAATATTTCTAATTACCCAATGAATGGTGAAATATCATATATTATGGATAATAATTTCTAATTATTTTAATTATATTTACTTAACTGATATATTTATAGTCCACTAACATCATGGTTGAATAGCGTTACAAAAACGAATGGCAAGACGAATTGATTTCCGGATGTTTGTATGTCCACCTTCTCTGTCTGTATCTCCTATAACTGCGGTAAAAACTTAGATGTCTTGATGAAACTTCATGTTACTCCGTACTCTTGGGACGTCACTATAGAAGAACGGAATATTGTTGCGCTTACGAAGTTACGTTGATCTAAAAAAACCTCACAGTGATGGGTAGCATGAGTTATTAAATTTTTCTTTGAAAAATGACCGTGGCCTAATGAAACCTTGCATTTGGTAATATCAAGCTATAGTGTGTACGTTTTTTACATTCACCGTGCCCCAACACTAATACTAATTTTTGTTTAATCTTACGCTTAAGTTTTATTCACCTTTTACTTATTATTTTGCAATGAATTAAAATCTTTTAAAGTATATATGTTTAATACATGCGCATGCTTCTAATAATTATGTGTACAATAAATTTAGTAAGCACTTTGCATATTTAGTTCACATATATTAACACCAAAACAGTGGACACTCTCAATCACAAATATTACAAAGCATCCAAGAGTAATGTGAGTTTCATTTACCATATGTATCTATATATGATAATGATGGCGACATATATTTATTCTGATTTAAATTATATGGTGGTACGTAGCAAATATTTACGTTAAAAAAGTGTACTCACAAAGTATGTACGCAGGTATTCTACGCGTATGGTCATTGCATTTGTTTTTGTACCACTAATTGCTTTGGAAATACCGTATACATAAGTATATAATTTTTAGAACTTCATTCATCATCCATGAGCAGAAAGGGTTTCAGTATTCAAATACACTTTCTAGCTGAAACATAAAAATTTTTCTGTGCTCTTTATTTACATAGGTGTGCATATGTAATATTTATGTATTATTACTGGTTACACAAACACGGCAATAGTTTTTCAAAAAAAGGATAAGCTCAACAGCTTCAACATGCAAGTTTTTAGATTTTCGATTGCTTTGCTGTTATTGCAGTTTTTGTCTACCAAAGGTCAGCGTATAAACGTTTTACTGGACCAGGGGCCCATAACAGGGGTATGAACATTTATGCACTTGCATACATATTCGCTATATACTTTAATTTGCTGCTTTTGATCTTACAGCTAAAGATATTTCCGGATACTTCTCGAACCGCTGTTTACGCATTTCTTGGAGTGCCATACGCACAACCACCTGTTGGTGATCTACGCTTTGCGGTAAAGAAATTTCTAGGCATTTGCAATATTTGTCGGATATCAACCACTAATTGTATAATATTTATTTTAGCACCATTAACTTGCTCATATACGCAGGTATTTGTGCATGACACATACTTTACCTACTTATATTAACTGAAATTCCAGCATGCAAATGAGCACTAGTGTAAACATATGCACTTAGATGTACAATATATACCATGTATATACATATATAATAGTGTGTACATATATAATGTAACACAAGTGATTTTTGATCACCCCTTTTTACTTTTTAATATTTGTTTTTGCGTATTTTACAAATCCATACATAACTAAATATATACATGCATATGAATATGATATATGTATGCATGTATGAATTTGACTGTGAATCAAAGTGAATCAAAGCTGCTTCCGGTTGGCTATTTCAACTGTTTATGTACTCGTTGGACAAGGCGCCTGAAGCAGCTCTGTACATTATGACATATTTATGCTCGGACTCGAAGTGTATGAGCTTAATTGAAAAGCATATTGAAAAAAAAAAATAACGAAGCGTGTACAATATATTATTTTGCGAAAAGTGTGGAAAATAATAGTTTCAATGCTGTACATATGATTTTAATATTGCGTTGTGATATTATATATGCATTTGTACACTTTTTAGATAAGTAGTTTTCTGTTAACGTACGAATTATAATGCTATACATTTATCCAAATACTCGATTTTTAATTATATATAAAGCCTCCTTTGGTACATAGAGGCTGGAATCGTACTTTTTTGGCTATGAGTATGCGTCCCCTGTGCCCACAGCCATTGGACACAATCTACGATGAAGTAGCTGACGGAAGTCTTCCTCGCGAAACAATAATGGATGAAGATTGCTTATATTTAAATATTTGGGTTTCCGAGGTACGTAATTGAAATGTTCGTATACCCTTAAAAATAACGGTTTCTTCTCTAGTCTTACTTAAAATATTTTCTATAAATAAATTTGTTGGTTTATTGTTTTTTGCATTCAGAGTGAAAATACTGGGAAGAAATCTGTGTTGGTACTTATCACCGGCGAGGAAATGGTTTACGATTGGTCTCAAAATCGTGTGTCCGGTGTAGATCTTGCCTTGGAGGATGTTGTCGTTGTCTCCATACAGTATCGCAGTAATATTTTTGGATGGATTGCCATGGATAATGAAGTGTTGACAGGAAATCTAGGCCTACAAGATCAACATCTGGCACTACTTTGGATACAGAGTAATATCCAACACTTTGGTGGCGATCCAAACCAGATAACATTATTAGGACATGGCACAAGTGGTGCGCCATGCGCCATTGCACATGCTGTCATGGGACGAACTGCTGAAGAGAATATTTTTTCTAAACTAATTATAATGTCCAGCGGCGATTTAGCGGCATCGCTAAGGTCTAGGGAAGATGTTATGAAAGCTTCGAAAGTTCTAGTGGAAAAACTAGGTTGTCAATTCGAAAAACCCAGTAGTCAATTGAGATATTGTCTAAGGCAAAAAAGTATCGGTGACCTGCTGAACGCCTTTGAAAGTATATATGATCATCGCAACGGCACTCTTCATATTGGTCCTATCTTACCAGTTGCTTACGACGATTTATTAAGAAATCAAACAATCGCACGCTCTCTAGGCCCTATACTTATTGGTATTACATCTAATGAGGGATCGTTTTTAGAGCAACGCTGGTTAAATTTAGCTCGCGAAAGCTATCAATCCATTCGTGATTATGTGGATTACACTGTGGTACCATGTATATTACGAAATTTTGATACGCAAATAAGAAATAAGGTGAAATATGCAATAAACTGGTTCTATTTTAGTGGAGAGGCGAGCGTGAGTACAAAACATTTTCTGTACACATTGCAGCGCCTTATATCGGAGTATTTTTATGAATTGCCGTTCTACAGATTACTTAATCTATTAACTTCGAAAGATTATGGAATTGTTACTCCAGTGTTTGCATATGTTTTCGATGCCTCAAAATCTATGGACTTTCGTGGAAAAGTAAATTTATTCGGTGGCGCACCTCACTCAGCCGACTTACTTTTGTTGCTTGGACCCAGTGTATTCCAACAAGTATCAAGAAGACGTTTGTCGATGGAAGAGAGCCGCCTTTCTCGACAATTTCGTAACCATCTTATAACATTCATAAAAAGCAGAAGAGATATATATAGTTTAAGTTTCAAACCTAACGAATGGCTGCCCTATACAGCTGAAAACCAATTAATTTATAATATTGGCAAGACAGATAAAGGCGTCCAATCAGAAGCGAGTACAAGCTATTTGTCGGATTTTGAAAAAAATTCGGTTGATATCGAAAAATTGCTACGCAATGATAAGGATACAATCGATAATGCATTTTTGAGAATAAATCGGAATAACAGAGGTCGGAGTGATAATAACCAAGCAACAGCTTATCCGGCAAATCAAACAAATTACGGTTATGTTTTACATTTGAAAAGGGTATATAACTTTTGGCAGATTTTTATACTTAATATACATAACTATGGTGAACAAAGGGATTATGATGGCAGTAATATTCCATTTGGCCAGCAGAATCTCTTAAAGGAAGCTACTGCTGATGCTGCTCGTTACCGAAAGGGGTTCTTTGCACTAATTGTTATAGTTGTTTTTCTTTTAAGCATATTAACGCTTTGTGTATATATTCTTAATAGGGATCAAATGCGCGAGAACACGCATATCTCAGTGTCTCGTTTATGACGAAGATTGGTTCAGAGGCCAGCATGGTTTCGACCGACGCTTACGTCAATTATTAACAACAACAATAATTCCAAATCTGAAAACTTTACCTTTGGTGAAGTCGTCTCACCCATAAGCGAAACAAATAAACGAGCAGTGGAAACTAATCTTAATAAAGTGGAGATGAGTTCAAAGAGAGAACTGAAAAAAAATAAAAGCGACGTGAATCCACCACAATACAATATTAAACACTGGCAATATGAACTTACTTGTGACAAATTTTAAATTAAATACATTACTAACACATGTATATAAATACCTACATACCTTATCTATTCATATATTAGAGTGTGCCGAAACCGAGTGATAAACGAAAGAGTGAGTAGCGGTGCACATATTTATTACTCAAAAATTAGAACTAAGATTTAAGTAAAGTGGAATGTGTGTATTCCGAAAACTTTTTGAAGGACAAGGAAGTAAGTAAACTTTTTCTTTAAGTTTTCAATAAGTTTATACATTTGAAATTCCTGTACATTTATATTTATAAATTCTACATACTACTTTTCTCTATTTTATTTTTATTATACATACTATGTGTTATCAGAATAATTTTTTCAAAATATTTAAAATATTAATTGATTTATTGATTTACTACCAAAAAACATTTTCTGCAAAAGATGAAGTTCGAAAATATTCCAAATTGTAAATATATCAGCAATGTTGCCAAAACTTACCATAACATCTTTTTAGCGAATTGTATTTTTGATCAAATGGTTTGCGTGCCGAACCATTTCTAAAATGAGCATTTGTTATGACAATGTTAGTCGTTATAGTATATTTATAGCATATTTTGTTTTTGTACTGCTGTCTGCTGCTGCGAAAAATAACTTTCTAACTGAAGCTGTTCGTACAACAATATAGCGGGTGTCTCTTAAAAAATCCGGTTCACTGCAGCCGAAAAATTGCTTTTACGATATTGGTCGGGTTTGTAGAATATCTACTATCCATGACCGTTAATCCTTTAAAAAAAATGCTCAAATAATCAGATAAATAGTCGAATGAAGACGTACAAGAAACGACAAAAGTCCAAAAGTAAAAACGCAATGCTTTCTCTATGAGTGTTTTTTAATATGTATATAGTATGTACATACATACAGATGTATGTTTTTACTTAGTAATGATGATCTTCAAATTTTATTTATATTTATAATATATATGTATATGTTTATGTAGTTTATATAATTTAGTACATTTTAAAAATTCATCTATCAACCATAAGTAACTTATATAACTTCATAAGGTATTAGCTATGTGGTTGTATATTGTATATGCATTATGTATATAATATATATGTGTATATATATATATATGCGAACTGTCATATACAAAACCGAACACAATTTTACAAATGTTTTTGTGAGTATGTTTACATTGAGCCATTTGTTTCAAGTTGTATCTATCATAGCCTCATTATATGCTGTACTTACGAGACTAATCGTGATAATTGGCTAAATTTATTAATTTATAAAATTTTCTAAAATTTGCTAAAATATATGAGTGTTTTTACGTTAAAACAAACTTCATTTATTTATACAGTACCATTGTTATTGCCTACTTGGTTTGTTAAAGTTTTGCTTGGAGTTCAGTGCCTACGCACATGCAGGGACAAGTGGTCGGAACGGCTAAAAGAGCGCGTGCAGAGTTGGCAGCGAAAAGGCTTCACACCGGTATGCTTACGGTAGTGACGCGTCAACTCGTCCGATCGAGCAAATCGCCAAACACACCCTTCCCAGTCGCACACATATGGCTTCTCACCTATTGCAACCAAATAGGAGAAGAAACATAAAAACATAATAAATAAACAAAAAAAAAAAAGTATATTCAGACTGAATTATTTCAATTTTTACTTTCAAATGTTCAGTATAAAAAGGTGATCTATGGAATATTACCTGTATGGGTGCGTTTATGCGCCTTAAGATGGGAACTCTTTGTGTACACTTTATCACAACCCTCCGTGTCACATTTGTGCACTTTTCGATTTTTAGAGAGATCACTAAAGCCGATAGCATTCATACTTCCGTTTGGCTCCTCACATCGTCCAAACATGCTCCCACTTCCCCTCAAAACCATACTGCTGAATGCATTTTTACGACCGTCATTATTTGAAGGTGCTTGAAAGCTGGAATGCGAAAATGCTTGATTCATGCTATTAGTGGAAGCTGCTGAAGACATTATCTTCCATGGCGATATCGAATTAGAACTAGCAGAAGCCTGAGCCAGTTTGTTGCACGATGATGAGATATTTGATGGAGCGGACGGTAATATTGTATCGTTGGAACTCCAAAGTCTTGAGCTGAACGATGATGATCCTCTATCCGTTGAATGTTTATAAGAATTTTTGAAAAGGCTTAGAAAACTAAATTTCCGATCGTAGTCTTGTATTATAGTTCGTTGAGCTGCTGCGACAGCTGGATTGCAAAATGGTGTTTCCGCTGTGGATGAGAGTGTAGACGATGTGAAGGATTGCGTAATCATGTTTCCAGTGCTTCGGTGAGGTTGAGAAGATGCTTGATTAAAGCTTTGGTTGAAATTGCCGCTATTTATACTGATATTGCTGTTACTTGATAATGTGTTGGTTTTACTACTGCTAACCTCCTCTTTCATGCGCCGATATGGTAAGAAGAATGTTGATGATGCTAGAAGCGGAGGTATAGGGAATTTAGAAACCGCTGAGGAGAATGGTGATAAATACTGCCGAGTGGACTGCTGCAACTGAGTTGATGTAGTGAAGGAAGATGAGGAACTCGATGTGTATGAGGTGAAGCGATCCTGGTTATGATTTGGGCTGTAGCCATTACCACTTTTATTGCTTTTATTATTTCCACACGCCCTATTGAGTGAATATGTACTGTAAGTGCTATCTTTTCCATCATTGTGTTTACTTCCAAACAGTTTGTAGTTTGTTGATTGAGATCCTGAAATGACAAAAAGTTTACATTTGCATTAATTTTCCTTTTTTATCTTATTAAAGAAGAGCTGAGATTCAATCACGTATTTCGTGAAGTAGCAAAACAGATGATTGTCGAAATCAATATTTTACGTGACTACTTGAAAACTCAAATATGGTAATTGCACATTTTTTTCTAAAATTCCTTGTTTTTATTGCCTTTTAGAACGCGAAGAAAGGAAATTACTTCACCTACAAGGGCTAACATTTTTAAAGTTTAAAAAACATGTTGATAACCTCGCCCAACTCCCACATAACAGTTATTTAAAAAAAAAAAACTTCCAATGGGTAAATAACAGGAATGGATCATTACCGCAAGCAAAGGCGTAGGTAGTTGGGCACAAGAGACTATAATTTGCAGTGTAAATATATCTCAGTATTACTTAATCTATGCCAAGTTATCTTTCCCGTGCCAGTATGGTAGTACGTTACTTATTTCGTATATATCTGATTATATGGGAAGAATTATCTGTACCATATAATCCAATCGGTTTCTTTATCAATTTTGATTCTACTTGTAAGTCCTTTTTCTGCTAACATTTAGTTGAGCGACAGTTTATTGGCCCCCTTCCAACTTGAGTTTAGTCTATGTGCCTTTTACATAGATGATGCGTGGATGTCGCAATATTTTGTCAATCGCATCAAGCTTTAGAGAAAATCTGCGTACTTCAGCAGCAACATCTGTAGCAGGCAAGCTGATGATAGCGATGGAGGTAAAAATATTTGGAACTGATGGCAGTAAACGGGCGGTTAGTTGACTGGTACCATAAAAAGTGAATGTTGCCCCCGAGTAACTCGCTGTTGTTTTGCTCGATTAAAACATGGTGAAGCGCAGTAACGACATTAACCAAATAATAAAAATAAAAACAAACAAAACAAATCGGCATGGAAGCACGAAAAAGAAGTACAAATAAAAATGTGAAACACAAAAACGCGTCTTCAAGTGGCACACTCATAAAACCCATAAACTGCTCATTTGACTTGGCGTGTGAAATGGTTAGTAGCAGCACAAAGTTGGCAAGTGGGCAGGTGGGCAGGGAGATTGGGGTAACAGGTAGTCGTAAGTGGAGAGTGGCAAATGGCATACGGCATACGGCATCAGGCATCAAGTAAACGAGCTTCGAAGTAGTCAGGAAATGAAGCAACGCGCCACAAGTATGCATCGCACAAGTGAATGCATGCCGCTGGTGGCAAGTGTGGCAAACGCGCGAATGCTTCGACTGCCTTTCAACTGCGCTCAGCAATAATTATGATGAACTGAGTGAGTGTTTGTGGATGGGACGCAGATCGGCGGCATATTGATGCACAAGTGCGACAATGATGACCAAAACCGAAAAGACCAAAGGCCGGAACGAGTGCGGCATTGCGGCAAGTGCTGTTTGTGAAACATTCTACGAATGTACATGCACACGAAAACATACTTGTATGGATATTTGTAATGGGTGATTCACTGTATTGTCGATTGCCGAATGTCAAAAATGTGCAGAAAGAACATTCATAACTGCGCATGCGTTGTGGATCTTTAAAACATGATAAGAAATGTTTTGTGGGTCCAAATAGAAATAACCTTTTAGCTAATATATGACCAACGTTTTTGAGATGGAGCTCTTAACGTTGAGTACAAAATCACGCCGCTCTCAAGTTGGAGACAAATTTGAATTTTATTTGGAGAAGAGAGACTACAGAGGGTTCCTGTTATTTTATATTTATGTCCATGTATATAGTTGTATAAATTCAAGTAATTTCGATTGAAAAGTGGACATTTTTGTAAACTCAAAGTTCTATATTTATTTTAGCTCAAAAAATTGGGTGTGGATCACCCGTTCCAAAAGAGAGTTAGTAAATATACATACATGTGTGGTGTATATATTTGTACAAACATATTTTAGTGCATACAAGTGTTCATACAAAGTGATTCGTGCAACGCATTACGCGCTGCATAATATCTGCACACAGCTGCTATGTGTGAACGATGCAGTCGTTGCGGAAAAGTTGAAAAAACTGTGTAATAAATTACGAAAGTAGTTGATAGGGTTTAATGTGTGTTTGCTGTGCGATTGAAAATAATTGGCAGTTCGAAGCCGTTGCAACAAAATGTGAGCGCGATCGCGCAGACGCGTTAATTGTGAGCTCCGTTTCTGCTAGCCATGGCGTCTAAGCCACAGGCCTTCATGTTTTTATTCGATCATTGCACCTGGGTCTGAATCCATATGTACACGCACGTATATATGTATGTACATGACTACTTGACCTTTGAATAAGTACCTTGCCAACCAAACCAAAATTTGTATCCTTCAATCCTTAATGTATAAATCTATTTAACATATACATACATATGTATATGTATAATTACGAATTATTTAAAAAATGATCTCTGATCATACTTCGTTTTGTGTGTATGTACACATATGCACGCATACTCGTATACGTATTACATTAGTGTAATTAGCCAGCAGTGTTCACCTTAGAAATAACTTATATGTATACAAGTGCATATTCGCGGATTAACGCATCCTCAGTACAAGCATATATGTAATATATGTAAATGTGCACATATGTATCACAAATTTGCGATCAAACAAAATTGTTCCTCTTCACTTCACCTGCGTGTGTCTTATCATCATTTAACGAAGCGAAATCGTTGACAAGTGTGGAACTGAGCGCGTTGGCTGATACCGAAGTACATGTTAGCCTCCGTGGGAAAATGCTAAATCATGGACGCAGACATGCTCGAGGTGAAATGGTTTTCGTATTTGGGCGGACTGTCATCAATTTAAACTAGCAGTAAGTTATACAGCAGGTCTCATTTGTTTTACTTTACTAGCTGTATTTTCCTGGTGCTTTACCTTCATATGTACATGTGTGTGTCCATATGTACGGTTACGTTTGCATGAGGACGTAAGCGCCAAATATAGAAGCATATTCACAACAGCAAAAGTTGTGGATAAAATTGCAGGTTAATGCAGAAACACCACCTGCTCCTTATAGCTATGAATACATGTGTGAGTGTGTGTGGGCTTAAAATAGCTACCCAGCAAACGCTTTTGTTTAATATCAACCACAGTAAGAGTTTTTTTCATTTGGGAAACTAGAATCATTATTATTATTTTTCGAGCTTTTATGATTACAACCCTACTTAGTATTTTTGAAGAAGTTTTGTAGGGTGTTTTTTGTCCCCCCTGGTTTCGTATTTAGCAAGGAGTTCGCTACTGATTATATGAACCCTTATGTCGTAGAAGTGGATAACTGGCATTGTGGCCCTTCATAGGGGCTCGAAGGTTGAGCCTTCGGCATGTCATGAATTACCACCATTATTGGTTATAATAAGAAAATTACCAAATGGCAATTTTGGTTTAATCAAAGAACCGTAAAAAAGAAAACTCGAACGTGATTGCTCACTAGTCACTCACTAATAATGTTAGATCGAATCGGAACTTTTTTCTCATAGTTTTAGCGCACTGGCGACTTTTAGGTGAACAGATGTGTGTAGATTTTACATTTGATTGCCAAATATTGCAAATCCCTGATTTTCAGAAATGTTTGAACATACTGCCACATCCTGTATGATTATTCAAAAAAAAAAAAACACGTTGTATATACCCGTATTCATGGCAAAACAAGCTTGATTTCTTCATTTGTTCGATTCCAAAGCCCAAGTTGCAAATCCCTAGTTGTTAAAAATAGGTGTTAAGATAACAAATAATTAGAAGTTTAAATTATATATTGCTCTTTCATATTTAACCGACTGTATCCGTATAGACATTTGTATGTTCGTAAATCGGCCAAATACAGTCATTTGTTGAATTTACCGACGGTGTCGGACTGCCAAAGCAACTAGGTGGAGTGTATAAATTTCCCATTGATGTGACCGATTGTCAACTTACGAATCGAGTCGATGTAGATATTACTTACATGTGTATACATTCGCTTGTTGCCATATGCATATATACATATACGTATATGTGTTATTATATACATATATGTGTATATAAATATGGGCTTTAATTACATATGTACACACATGGGTAGTAGTGCAGGCTTAACACTGTGAAATCAATCAATTAAGTCGTTTTTGCGCCATTCGGTTCCGTCGTTCGCTCCAAGCCTCCGGCCGGTATCTGATATTTACATAGAAAGTGATGAGCGAATCATTGAAGCAGCTCGCTAACAATTGTGTTTGCAACTTCTCTATTGGCCAATACAAGATCACCGTTGCCACTGATCTAGCAGTTTCACATTATTTACTGGGCGTTGTGGTTTTGGCCTATACCTACTAAGTGCGAGTGAATAGTGCGAATATTTAAAGCAACGAATAAACTATTTGTCTAGATTTGTTTTTTCTTTTTTTATCATACGCCCAATCAGTTTGGTTTATTATAAAGGACTGTTTTTACGACGTCGGTCACAGATCACCATAGAAATTTATACTTAAACACCAGCAAACAACATATATATAGACATAAGAAAGTTGATCAAGACACACGGAAATTGCTGAGCGAAGAAACTTTGACTAAAGAACAAAAAACTGCGGTTCCAAAGCTCCGTGGAACGGTGCAATGGCTGCATAAACTGTATAATAAAAAACGGAGAAGGCATCGGAATTATTCATATCAGTTTACGAAACAAGGAAAAATTAATGCTGTAATGAGGAATCCTTTCATCCATACACAGGACCGCAGGAATGTTACGTCATGTAACGGTTGGTGTTTTCTCAATTTGCTCACGCGATTGGGCTATCAATACGTTTATGGTAATAGTCTACATAATCTAAGCTAACTTCATATGTTCCAGTGTCCCAGCAGTGTCACTAAGTGCATGTAAGACGGATATCCGGAAATTGCAAACTTTAAGCATAAGCTGACCCACAAAAAGAGCAACAACTACATGCCATTGCAATTCATAATTGCTCTGCAAACCTCAAACAAATGAAAACAGATACAACGTCAGTATTCGTGTCCGATGTCTTGA